GGCCCTCTCTGCCCCGCCGCCGGTCGCGGCCCCCCCCCACACACACACCCCGGCGGCTCCGAAGGAGGCACAGGCCTCCGCCGCCGGGAGGGGGAGAGACGCGGCCCGCGGGTGCCCCGTCCTGCGGAGGGGACCGGGACAGGCCCGCGGTCGCCCTCCTTCTCGGGGCGGGAGCCGGCCCCGGCCCCCGGGCCTTCGTGCGGAGCAAGAGCCGCCGTAGGCGCCCCCAGAGCGGGGTCGCGGTCAGCCCGCGGAGCTGCGGGAGTTCACAGCAGCCCGACGGCCCAGGCCGGCGGTAACGTTCGTTCGTGAAGCAGGAAATGGTGAGGTACACGGACAGTTTGGGCCCTGGCAGTGAAACTTACCACAGGGTTTCTGTAAGTGAACGAACTTTTTTTTCTAGGACTGCAGGGAAAGTTAGTCCGAAACACTCCCACAGCAGATGAATTTAAAACGTGTACACGGTCTGCAGCGGGGGGGGTGGTAAAACAACAACGACAAAAAAGCAATGAAAAACATGAAATAACACCTAACTATAAAACTGACAGATATATGTGGTGGAGTAGATTAAAAATACTACCGCAGTTACTTAAAAGGAACATTAGACTTAGCTTTCTGGGCTGGTAATTCCACGTTCTAGCCCAGACAGTGGGTGCCCTAACTGTCTTGGTACATATTTTGATCACTCTTATTTCCAGTTTTATCAAAGAATGGGACAGGTCTGTTTGGCTAACAGTAATGATGCCCAGTAACTTTTTTAGATTAGCCACCTCATCCACTTACAGAAACATTTCATTACTGTCCATTTTTCAGTATATCCCCCCCATGCATGCAGAACACCTACCCTCCTCTCTGTATTGCGGACTGTGAACCCTGTAAATCTAGAAGTCTAGGAGCAAGGTCCCTGGGCTGAATCCTAGCACTTTTGCTTAGCTTTCTCACAGAGAAGGCAAGCTATTTTAGTCCTTAGATGCCTTACGCAGCCTCTTGCCCATCTTTCTCTTCTTTTTGTCTCTCCCACTCTTAAAAAGAAAAAAAAAAAGTGAAGTATCACATTCTTCACCTATCACAGCTTCACAGTCCCTTAGAGAAGTCTGTTTTCACAGACTGTGACCCCAAATCAACACCTGTAGAGTTGCAATGGTAGGTACCCATAGGTTACGTCAGCGTTTATTTCTCATGCAAGCCTGATACTGCTTCAAGAAATGTGTTACAATGTTCCAAGGAGCACCAAACACCTAACCTCAGAACTCTACTGCCCACTTCTACCTACCTGGGGTACAATTAGATATATTATTAAATTGTAGCAACAGACTTTTCCTGCTGAGATGCTCCTGCTCTCCTCACACTTATAAGACCACTATTTATAGGGCCTGCTCAATAGTAATAATATCTGTAAATACAGACTTTTTAAAAATGAGCTCCAGATTTTGAAGCTCTAGTGCAATACAGTGAATATATTTTATGTTGCTGCCATATGCATTTCTACAGGTCTGTTCACTGATTCCTGAGGAACATCTTACTACACATTCACAAAGAGGTCATGATATGCAAGAATCCAGATAAAGACATGCAGTAATATCCAATAAGGCCCAAAAGACAGCTTTTTGTTGGTGGTAAGTACAGAGCATTCCAGTAGAAACCCGTTGTGTAAACCTCCCTATTTCTACATATTTTGTTTTGACATAGCCACTACATTATTTAATAGAGCTGGCCATAAAGCTATAGTTCGCTACCGGGTAAATTGGGTCAGCTTCCCCAGCACATCTCAAAGCCTCAGATGACTCTACCTATTAGGGTAAAAACTTGATTATTTTTTTTTCCAATTACTGGAAAAATCACATTCTTGCTGAAATACAGTTCTTAGCAACACTGCACAGGTTGTAAATTCTCCCTGGCAAAAAAAACCTAGATAAAACTAAGGGAAAGTTGAGAGCAAAGATGCATTAGGTTGCTTCTTGACTGATGTTCTCTTGTTCGAAGAGGGACTTCTGCAAAATTCCACAAGATTATCTTCTTTAGAAGAACTTGAACTGTCATAAACCCATGTATCCTTATAGAACTACATAGGTCATTTTAGAGAAAAGTATCATCATGTTCTAATTTCAGGACTTGATGATCTCAGTCCTCGATACCAACCCCTTCAATACAAGGTTGAATTGGTCTATGAGTTTCAAAGCCTGCATATGTGAGAAGCTCTTAACAAATCAGCTTTGAAAAGGGTCTAGACTTCAGCATCAGAGTTCTGGCATAAGGCAAGAGAAAAACACTTAGTCCTGTAACATCAATGCAGCCTTTGGAGCATCACTTAAGATAGTATTTTCAGGAGCTCAATAGCCACTGCTTATGCTGTAGCACTACAGCCTCCAGCACTACTAGTCGGTCTCTGACTAAACAAGGTTCCAGGGATTCTGCAGAATCTACCCTCTTTGCAGCCAACAACTAGGTAGGTTGTAGGCTCAACAGCGAGCATTCTGGTTAGGAAGCACAGTAATATTGGTATACCAAAATAAGCAGGCCAGTACTTATTCCAGAGTCTGCACGCCCTACGTATCTGAACAATAACTGTTGACCATCTGTAGCACCAAAGTTTGAGGGTTTACTTCCTCAGGAGTAAGGTTGATCACTTCATCTCATTATGGTGAATCTCCACCAGCAAAAAACAGAAACAACTCTTATTATAGGGACAAAGTATCTTTCCCAGATTATCAGGACCCAGGCCCATACTCTACTAACCCCATCAGCAATCTTCTTTTCCTGAAAAATAAAGTCCTCTGACCTGTCAGTTCTGCGCGTTAAACATAGGTGCTTCAGAACTGTAGCCCTCACAAACAAATTGGGGGGAAAAAAAAAAACCAAACAAGTAAAAACCTCTCTACCTTTGCATCCTCTTCTGCTGTATCACAGAAAATTGCCAAACCTACTTTCCAAGAAAGAACCTTTAATATTCTCCACCTGTAAAAGACAACTCCACCTTCAGCTGGGATCAATTTTGAATTAGCCATGTGAGAATCGGCTGTGTGAACCCTGGGCTCAGACCTATCCCCTGCATTTTTTTGTTATTTTTTTTTTAATACAGCAAACTGTTCTCCATGGTTGGTTATTCATTTTCCAGAAGTTTGAGGATTCATACAGCCTATTACAAGTTTTTCCTAGAGAAGAGTAAGAGATGTCTGCTTATTCCCATCCTTTCCCTGAGAGGAAAAAAAAATACCTTTGCATATGAGATTGTACATCAAATTGTAAATAAATACAGTTGTATGTGGAAGGCTTCTGACATTTATCAGGAACCTGCACCTAATTTTGTTACAGAGTTGTGCCTTAAGAGGTCGTGTGTGCTCTCTCGAACTGTACATTGTAGAGTTTCACTTAAGAAAATGACTACAGTTCTATTCCACCTTTTAGTAAGAAAAAGCTGATTATCTCAGTGATTCATTAAGACATGTTTTCTTTTAGTGAAAAAAACCAGACATTTTACAAAAATATAGGGCTTATATTACAAAATATCGGATAACTATGAAACTTGAATGTATGAAAATCAACATTAACAACATAATTCACTTCTGAAAAATTAGATTTCACAGACATAATACCATATTCAATATATTGCCAGGAGAAAGCTTGCTTATCTCTTTCAGATGGGCAGTGTGTTACAGCCTAACAGCCTCTGGATACATTGCTATCCCTAGAATCCAAGGCAACTGCTTGGATAGAAGCCATGGGCCAGGGAGAAATACTATATACAGCCCAAGGATATCCATTTTCACTAATTGTTTATACCAAGAGGAATGGTTTCAAGGGGAGAAAGCAAGAGAAACACATTTCAGACTGGCCAGCAGCATTGGTAACTGTGACGCTTACAAGGGCAGTGAAAATCTTGCATTTAGTCCCTGTACCTGAACCTGTGCAACACAGAGTTAAACCTGTGTTGCTTGCAAGTCTCATGGGCTTTTCTGAAGGTAAAAAAATTGCCATTCCTACTCAGCCTAAGGATCTGGTGGTATTAGATTGTAACTATCCTGAGAGCACTCAGGCAGGATCCAGTTTTAGAAATAAGGTAAAAAGCTACAGATGAATAGATTTTGCCTTTGGTATGTTAGGAGACATACCTCAAAACCCAGCAGTTTTTCACCTTAGGGATAGCTGAAAATGAGTTTCACTCTTACACATGTGTTTTGTAGAGACATTGTCCTGGATTTGGTCTGGCAGAAGCTACAGTGGGCATACTCATAACTTCCATTGTTGTGAATTGGCTATGCAATATCACTGACTGTCGCAGAGAAGTTTATGAAGTTGTTTTCTTAAATTCTTACCTATTAGAGGCAGATAAATAGAGACTACAAGATAAGCAAAGTTTTCCATCCTTTATGGTTTTGGCAAATACCTGAAAGTGTGCTTCATGTATCTATCTCAGGAGCAAGAAGCAAATCAAAATCAGGCTGCATATAATACAAAATAGTATGCCACTTAACTGGTGCATAGACTGCATTAAAATAATAATAAGACGGCAAGTTTCAGAGTAAACATTTATTGGTTTATTGGCATTGTTGTTAACCTTTTGGATAGCAAGAATGGGTAAAGTATACCAGTTTTACCTGAAAATGACTGATATTTTAGAGGTCATGCACTGTATTAATGCTTACATCTTAATTAGGATTTTTGTTTGTTTTTCTAGGGTAAAACCTGGATTTTTGTTAGAAATTCTGCAAGAGTGATACTATCAGTAAAGATGTCATACTTAGTAAAAGGAGTTATATGTTGCAGTCCTGTGAATCAGATGCACAAAGTAACAGGAACTCTGTTTAAAGCACACATATTAAAAAACATATTGGGCACCAATGAACAACAATTAAAAATTTCACGTACGTCATCTCAACTTAGTTCTGAAAAGGCAAACACTTACAATTATGTCATTGTTGGAGCTGGATCAGCAGGGTGTGTATTAGCCAACAGGTTGACTGAAGACCCCCTCAGTACTGTACTACTTTTGGAAGCAGGCCCTAAAGATACATTTCTAGGTAGTAAAAGGCTGATGTGGAAGATTCATATGCCTGCTGCGTTAACTTACAACCTCTGTGATGAGAAGTATAACTGGTATTACCACACAACACCACAAAAGCATGTGGATAACCGAATTATGTACTGGCCCCGAGGAAGAGTGTGGGGTGGGTCCTCTTCTCTCAATGCTATGGTGTATGTGCGTGGGCATGCAGAAGATTATAATCAATGGAGCAGGAAAGGGGCTACAGGATGGGACTACGAACATTGCTTGCCCTATTTTAAGAAAGCACAGACACATGAACTGGGGCCAGATCAGTACAGAGGTGGAAATGGACCCCTGTATGTGTCAAGAGGGAAAACAAACCATCCTCTTCATCATGCATTCCTGGAGGCAACCCAGCAAGCTGGGTATCCCTTCACAGATGATATGAATGGCTATCAGCAAGAAGGATTTGGCTGGATGGACATGACTGTGCACCAAGGTAAATCATAAAGGGGTCCTAAGTAATTTGTATTTTTGAGCCACCAGTGGTACTTCTGAAAGCATTTTGGAATATGGACATGTAATCTGCACTGAATACCATTTGGTTCTTTAGATTACTTAATAGCTATGGCACTCCGTATTTACACCCTGTTCATTTCACAGCAGCTTGCTATCAGTCTAGGGTGTATTTAATTGAAAATTGCATTGGTGTGCAAGTCTTGATTCATAGCTTGGGCGAGTAGGTTTTCAGAATGTCATTGTGAAATCTGTTATGTTAAAATAAAATCTTTAGTTATTATAGCAAATCACATTTGCTTTGAACTCTATAAACCCTATGAAGGCTTTCCCTTTGTTAACATCCTGATTGTTATTGGCTAAAATCTTGGAGAATACTGAGCCTGACTATTTTAATGTTTAATGTAAACATACATTGTAGGTCAAAGATGGAGCACAGCTAGTGCTTACCTTCACCCAGCCATATCACGCCCAAATTTGTCAGTTGCAGAGAAGACACTTGTAACAAAAATCTTGTTTCAAGGAACAAAATCTATTGGTGTTGAGTATGTGAAAAATGGGCAAAGGAAAAAGGTAAGAGATTTTTATTTTCCAGTATGAAAGGTATGAGTCAAAGCAAAATTGATTTTTTTTTTTAAACAAACTTTCATTAAAAGTGACACTTTAATATGCAAAATGTCTGCTTTTCAGATGCTATGTTGTCTCTTCCAGTATCTGATTTCTTGTCAGTTATTTTACAGTAGGTGATATTTCAGCTGTATTGATTTAGAGATTAATATCTCCATTATATTTCCATCTCTCAGTACTGAGGGGACAAGCCTTAACTTGATGTTACCTTACCTTGTTGTGTAAGGTTTCTGGCTGGAACCTATGGTGCAATCATGCGCTGTCTCAGCATATTGACTAGTGTGCTGAAATGCTGATGTTTCTGAAAAACAATTCTGAAAATGCTGTTCTGGAATAGCAAAATCTGTAAAAGCTAGATACTGAAATCTGAATGGCTCAAGGGATAAATAATGAGTCATTCACTTCTACTTTGCCATTATGTCTTGAGTTTTGTTATAGTAATGGTGAAACATAATGATGAAACATGTCTTATGGTTGTTTGTGGAATGAATACTTTTCAGTCTCAGTCCAACTTCCACTGAACATGCGATCATGTGGAAGGAAGCTTGAATTGCCATTACAACTTAACTCTGTGGATAAACAGTTCATTTTATGCAGCTATCAATCCATTGACTTCTGTAAGAGCTAAAACATTCTTATTTCGCTTAACTCTGCTATTATAGCTGATTATGGAGTATGTACCTAGGAAATTGCCTAAAAGGTATTTATATGTTAATAACTTAAGATATTTAGTCACAAACAATTATAAAACAATCAAAAAGTGTAATAGTAATATCCTAAAGAGAGGAGAGTACAAATTTGATGGTTCGAGTTCAATAAGGCTAACAAGGCTCAATAGACAAGTGTTCTGTGACTGAACACCTGCTAAAAGTTAAAAGGCAATATAAATAAACTGTTCTTTCATTTTCTAATGCACAGAACAAATTTGTTGTTTCCTAAGTGGATTGGTAATGACAATAATTTTAACAATGTAAACCAAAAGTTGCAGAAAATTTAATTGATTTCATGAGCTATTAAATGTTTGCGAAAACAGTGTCTCTCCTTGGTGTTCTTGTGCTGTTATTAAGATTAATTTTGTCGAAGAAAGTCTCGGAAAGCTAATTACATATGATCAAATACTTTCTGAATACAGGACCACTTTAACTGCAAAATTCTTTAATTGCTATGAATTTTCATACATATTAATACATGTATGATTTATACACAGTGAATGATATGTATGTATAGCATATATCACAAAAAGTACACCTTCAAAGTATTTCCCCCCAACATCAAAATTGCAGGACTTGCCTGCTTTTACTTTCTGTTAAATTTTATACCTGTCAGGATGGAAGAGCTAAAAATTTTATTACATTATGAACATTAAGATGAAACACTTGGTTACATTAAACTGTTTTTGTTTTTATAGTCTATTTTAGGCAGGATCTCTTTTACGTCAGTCATCAGTAGAGTTAAAAGATCATCAAAACCTGATTCAAGCATGATACAAAACCTATTCATCAAGCCAGTGACTTAATTGTTATTTCAGTAGATATTGGGGTCCTGGTGAGCTCCCAGAATTCCAGTAAGCCCTTTGACAAAAGTAGGGAAGGTAGACTGAACATTCCTGGAGTTTCTGAGTTCAGAATCAAGCAGAAAAGTGTATTTGAAGGGGAAGAATGTTTTTAATGTATCATAGCCTAAATAGCCCATATAAAAATGTTTCAAAGTCAGTTTTTCCTCTTTGCATGTTAGATTTAAGCACAATGAAAGTCTGTATATGGGCTAGGAATAACTACACTGCTGACTTTGCAGTGAGCATAGGTTGAATGAGCATCATTTGAATGCTACCTGGAACAAACTGGCACTAGTTTTTTGTATACCCTAGAAAATATAAATAAGTTATATTTGTGTAACATGCAAAATGCAGACCTAGGTATTGATTCCGCAGTCACAGGTATGCCGTGTGTTAGTCTTAACGTACTAATGATTGCCTGGAGCAAAACAATAACGAACAAAAAAATATCAGCATTGGCTATCCATCAGCAATATCAGATAAATAGTGTGGAAACAATTTATCAAAATTTATCTTCTTACTACATTTTGATCTTATTACTAGCAACAATCTCATTCACTATCATTCTGTATAGCTGAGGTGTCATACAAAAAGGACAGGATTACTACAAGTTAATATGCACTCCATGCTAATCTGTTAACACTTCACTATACTGCAGGAAAAAAATAGCACTTTTTAATGTTGCTTTAGAAGTTAAATGTCTCATCTAAAATAAAAACAAGCAGCTACTCGTAATAGCACCTTACATTCTACGAAAGTGGAGAATGCAGATGAGCAATACCAGATATGTTGCTTACTTTTTGTTTCTTCTGTGGTACAGCTGTTCTTTCTTAAGGACAGGTGAATCTTGAATCTTTTTTTTCTAATGTGCAAGAATTACTATTCAGTTTGTAATCAACTACCTAACTCAGTGTGTATACAAAGGGTATCTTATATTTCAACAGGCAACATACGTGCAACTAGGTAGGATGGAGTGCATCCATTGTGTGTGTCTTAATGAGCCATCTCATTGGAATAGAAAGGGACAGGCTGAACAAGGTTGGGTTCACCCACATCGTCCTCTTTCAAAGAGTAAAGGGAAAAGGTGGAGGGTGTCAATATTTTCTTACTCCACACAGTTTTCCCCTTTACCAGTGAAAAGCACTAAGGGGGGTAGTTCTGATCCTAAATTTAAGAGATGTGGCAACAGGGAAGAGTTAGCCCCCAGATACAGATGACACAGAGAAGGATTTTGGTATTGCTAAATGAGAATATTCTGAGGCAGAAATCCTTGGAAAGAAGATGTGCCAAAAATACTTGCAGAGAAGGTTCTAGAAAAAGAACTATCCAGCACAGAAAATTGAGTCAAAGGTAGAGGAATAGTATAGCAGCCTGTAGCATGACCAGCTCAGGGCTCAGACTCAAATTGTTTGATGAAAATCTGTCAGCAAAACAGAATTATGTATATGCCTGCAGTCAGAGTTTTCTCAGTAGCGCTTTAGTGGTTGAGGGGCATCTGAAGACTACAATAAGCTAAGAAACCAAACATTAGTCTTGGTTGAATTAAGAAAATAAGCTCTTGAGAACTTTTGAGCTAGTATGTCTCTGAATTCAAAATCTTCCTTAGAAGTTTCAGTTTGCAAACTGGTATTGAAAATGGAAGAGACACTTAGCTGATTGATCCGATTGTCACAGGTACTTTTTTCCTGGCAAGTAGCACAGGAGTTTATTGCCAGCCATGGTACTGGCTGAGCTGAATGTTTGTGTGCCATACAGTTTGAACGGATTGTAAACATGGGAATAAATACAGAAATTATGAAAGTGAAAGCTTGATCATTTCTCTCTGCAGAAACTTCTGGCAAGATAGGAATACATTTAGAATGAGAAAAATGTGAGGGAAGGGTGTCTAATCTGGATCAGAATAGCATATCTGAACAGAAGCTCTTGACATGCTGTTTGCATTCAGATCAGGCTTAATAATGTTAGGACTTTTGTGCTCATTTCCTTTTAGGCTTTTGCCAGTAAAGAAGTTATTTTAAGTGGAGGTGCCATAAATTCTCCACAGCTGCTTATGTTGTCTGGGATTGGCAATGCAGATGATCTAAAAAAACTGGGGATCCCTGTTGTTTGCCATCTTCCTGGTAATTTTATTATTTCTTTTAACCTTACATCTTCCTGTGGTTGCAATTCAAAGACAATTAAATGAAATTGTAGTCATATGTTAAGAATTACGGCCCAGCCATAAAAATGAATCCATGAAATTCAGTTGTCTTTATGTCATGTTGTGTGGACTAAAAAGTAAGTGTTAAAAATCAGTGGAAACATGCACTGATTTTAGAACTGAGCAATAAACTCCTACACTTTCTTCACTACATTTGCTAGTGAAAAATACCTTTCTGAAAAATACCACTGTGTACTTTTTAAGTAAAGCAGTATACTTAGAATTTAGAATTTTGAATGAGTTTTGATCCACAACAGATTGTATAAACTCCCACTGTCATATCTATTCAAAGATAGAAGGAATAACATGAACTTTTCCTTAAAACCAGAAAAGCTAGTACTGTATTTAGAAGTCATATCTGGCAATTTTAGAACAAGTGATATGTCTGCCATTTAACTTTCTATTTTCATTCTAGTTATGCTCTGTTTATGTAAAACCTTATTCTGACATGAGCAAAAGGCTGGTATGACTCATGGTCTTGGTCTTAGTCATCACTGCCCTTGTAAGAGGTTAGTTTAGTTCCCATTTATGCTGTTTTCTGGTTGCAAATGTTGTGTATAATTGTTCCATGTGGAATAACTTTTTTTTTTTTCCTTTCTTCTCCCTCCTCCCCCTTTCTACTCTCCCCCAGGAGTAGGCCAGAACCTTCAAGATCATTTAGAAGTGTACGTCCAGCAAAAGTGCACCAAACCTATTACTCTATATAATGCACAAAAGCCAGTTAATATGGTGAGGATTGGTCTAGAATGGCTTTGGAAGTTTACAGGTATGAAACACAGTATGCAATCATTCTACCATTGATTGATTTACAATTATTACATCCTTTTATCCATGAATTTCAAAGTCTGGGAGCCTTCATATATAATTTTTTTCATATTCTTGAAAATAACTGGAGCTTGCAAATGGACTTGAACTATTTATTTTTTTTCTAAATCAGAATATTTTGAAACAGTTATTATATCTTAGGTAACAAGGGCGGGTTTTATACACTGTTTTTTAACATTTTTATATCTCATTTCTAAAAAAATTCTACATTTAAAAATCTCGGTGCTACTGAGAAAAGCTGTTGTAAAAAATGAAGAAAAAATTATGTTTGAAATAGAAATTGTGTCAACAAAAACATATTGTTGAACTGAATTAAGTTTTCTGTACAATTGCCCCAAAAGAATTAGTTTGTTGCTCTGGTCAGAACCCTTTAGGCTTCCATGTAAAACAGAAGTGACTTGTTAAAATAACACACCCATTTTACAGTAACCCAGCTTAAGTTGTGCCTTAAAAAGAAGCTGTGAAAGTAATCCTTGAAATCAGTAAAATGTTAGTATTTGACAACTTACACTGGGTATATGTGGCTTTTTACCATGCAAATAAGTATTGAGGGCTAACTTAGGGTTTTAAATGGCTGTGAAAAATAACATGAGGGGCATTGCAGGCTCTTCATCTTTCCCCTTCAGGGTAGGTACTGTGGATGGCTCTGCCTCTTACATGTGACTGATAGGGTAACTATACTGCATGTCATGGAGCGTGCAGTGCAGTAATACCAGGATGCTGTAGTCAGTTCCCTCTACACCTGTTAGGATCCTGGGACCAAATCTGCCTCTGAAGTTAGACTCTAGGCCTGCTAGTTACAGTGAGATAACTGTAACATCCCACCCTCGAATAAATGGGTTTTCCAAAGTTATGCATATTTACATTTATTTTGCAATTAAAAAGTGATGCATATTGCTTAAACAACAAGTTATTCATAATGGATTTCTGTTCCTTGCAATTGCCACGGTATATGTAAATTATTCATAGTAGTGAAACCAAGGGTTAAGCAGTGGATTTCTTGCTTTTCTGAGGTCTTTTAATGGCATTTTCTCTCTCATTTACGCTCTCCAGGTGAGGGAGCCACTGCCCACTTAGAATCTGGTGGGTTTATTCGAAGTGAACCAGGGGTTCCTCACCCTGACATTCAGTTCCACTTTCTCCCTTCTCAGGTGATTGATCATGGCCGGGTTGCTTCCACAATGGAAGCTTACCAGGTGAGTTGTTGAAGAACATATTCCAGTAATGTTCTGTAGCAATTAGCAAGGAGGCTTACGCTCTATTATAAATATGATAATTTGGTTATATACTGAAAAATACTTTGTTCGCTATAATACAAAAGAGCTGGCTTAACCTCCTACATTGGGGAGAAACCGTGAGCTTGTTATCTGAGGTTGCTACCAAAATTATGTTACTTTTTATCTCTGGAAAAGTAGGCAAGCATTGAACTACTGTTCAAGTATTTGCACTACTGAAGTGCCATAGTGCTATTGATTAGCATGCCATTGTGCTAGATACTGTACAAAACTAAAACAAAGCGTCCCCTCTTCCACTGCAGTTTAGGCAGAGGTTTAAGCGAGAATGTTTGAGGCCACTCATTTATTCATTAGCACAAATCTAAGCCCCATTTTAGACTATGATCTTGTACCAAAACTCTGTGCTAATGCTGGGGAACTGTCACTGTTTCTTCTTGCTAATCTCTTTTCTTCAGTGATGGTAGTAATTTGGTCTGCGTTCTGATTGGATTAGAATGCTCTGCTACTGCTAAATTGGAATGGTTGTATTTTAAATTAAAAGAAGAGCTGTGAGATGGTGAGACAGGTATATTCCCTTCCACTTATGGAATATCATATTTACAACAAATTTGTATAAAATGGAAAAATGTTCAATGGCATTTCCCATTGTCTCCCTTTAACGTTTACATTCGCTTAATTTGTAAAGACCATCCAGCTTGCAAAAAAAAGTTCATACTGAATTTGGAAGTATGTCTGGTGGGATTGTGTCATGAATATAGCATGAGTGTTGCAGGTCCACGTGGGACCCATGAGGAGCATGAGTGTGGGCTGGCTAAAGCTGAAGAGTACAGACCCAAATGACCATCCTATCATTGAGCCTAACTACATGTCAACAGGTAAATGCAGCCTCTCCTTGCTCTGGTGTCAACTTATTTCCTGCCTGTTTCAGTAGCAGATTTTCATATCTACTCAAGACCAGTTCAGAAGTGGTGTTCGGTGCATTGTTATTTATTTCTCATTTATAAAAGTCAGTATCAAAAGAGGCCATTGTGCAAAGCACTGTATAAACCAAAAAGAATTTCCTGTTGGGGATGCAGTCAGGGTTCTTAGCGTTTGCTGCATCATGCTGTTCATTTCATCCCCTTCTCTGCTTGTGAAGTAATGGATCTGGATTGCTTCTTTGTGCTGAGACTCGTGTCCTTGGCTAGACAGTGGGTATGGTGACATAAAGAGCAATTCTTCATAGCTCATCTATTCCCTTTTGGGATTGTGCAATATAAGTGACAGCTTTGTTCACAGTGAATGTAAATATCTGTGACTTTGGAAAATACCCTACTTCATTACGGCTTTCAGCAATAAGTGAGAGACTTTCCCTCCTCTTTTTTCTTTGATACTATTTTTTTCTGTTATGCATTCTGTATGTATTATTAAATTAATGGCGTACTTACAGTTTTCTTATTTTCTTTTCATACAGAAAGAGATATTTGGGAATTCCGCCAGTGTGTCAAGTTGACCAGAGAGATCTTTGCTCAGAAAGCTTTTGAAAAATTTCGCGGGCCTGAAATTCAACCAGGAAACCATGTTCAGTCTGACAAAGAAATAGATGCTTTCATAAGGCAGAAGGCTGATAGTGCTTATCATCCTTCCTGCACCTGTAAAATGGGTCAGCCTTCAGATAGCACTGCTGTAGTTGATCCCCAAACAAAAGTAATTGGAGTTGAAAACTTGAGAGTAGTAGATGCTTCAATAATGCCCAGTGTTGTCAGTGGAAATTTGAATGCCCCAACTATTATGATAGCAGAGAAAGCTGCAGATATAATTAAGGGCCTCCCATCGCTTCAGGAGAAAAATGTTCCTGTATATAAGCCCAAGACCTTGGAAACACAGAGATAAACAAATGTTCTCATCCTTTCACATCTTTTGCTACGTAGGCTTTCATCAGCATGTTGGTATCTCACACTGAACATGCCAACAAAATAAATACCATGCAAAACAACATATTCCATTAGAATAACATTAATTTGAACCATTCTCTTATGTTAGACTACCTATTCATTTTTTTAATCAGTTGGCTTAAGCTGCTTATTTTAGTTAAACATGACCTTTTGTGGTACAATTCAAATTTTTTGTTGAAGAGAAGCTATTTCTAAATGATAAGACAGTTGTGCACATAAGCCAGAAATACTGTGCAATTGCATGAGGAATGGAAGAGATTAATGTGTGTTTTGAAAATCATTATGGTATGCCTTGTTATTTAGAGGAAGGATTTTAACTGCTGTGGGCGTTACCCAGGATAACAGCTAGTCAGTAATCCCGACATCCTGCAAAGAATGGTTAAGTAAATGTAAGCATTTGTGCAGTTTCATATTCACAGGCCAAAGTAGTTCGCATCTGAATTTATAGGACAGAGAGAGGAACCTGCGTGTGTTCGGAATTTGTCAAATGTGGGTTTTTTTATGAGAAGAATGCACAGTTTACAAATCCTCACTGAAAATTCACCATACTTGGTAGCCTTAACTGTATATGTAGTATTCAGAAAGAAGACATACATTGTATTTATCAGAAACTTACTTTTCTAAAAAAATGCAGAACAGGAGCTGATATTTATAAAAATATACTGGTCTTTCTCCTTGCTTTTTTCGCAAGGAGCTCAGCAGAATTCACTTCACATTTTAAGCTGATTTAGTTGTACCACTTTATCAGTTAGCACAGTAAGAGATCTGCACTTCCTATAACATTCTTAAAGTTACTGGTCCTTAGTCAAAGATGAGTGTTTGGAAAAGATAATTCTCAGCAAATATTCTGAACAGTGCCTTACTATCACTCAAATTTTATTAAAAAAAATTACAGCCAAGATAGATTTAAAATGAAAGGTTACTCAAAATAACTGCATAAGGTCAGATATTGATGATATAGGAAGAGATCTTTTTAAATTACAAGGCAAGTAATTTAGTGAATCAATGCTATATTTTAGTTAGGACTTAAATCTTTGTTTTACTATCTTCAGATGTGTAAAGCAAGATACATGATCTTTCATGGGTCTTTTCTGTGTCAATCTAACTTTCAGGTAGTGATTTTTTAAAAAAAACAAACAAATCTAAAGAAACTGAACTCATGGAATGAAATTGAATCCATTGAATTGTTTGGATTTATTAAGTATTCCAAAATAACTTCTGACTAAGCAGCTGTTAAGTTATAAAGTAAAAGCTTCTGTAGCCTAAGATTGCTCAAGACTTGTGGTAAACAGAATACTTTTTTTGCAGAAAAAATGGAATTTTACACCATTTGAGCAGATTGTAAAAAACTTGCTGACTCAGATGTTGGCTAGAGGGACAACTGCAGATGTTTAAGGCACATACTTCTACCTGGTGCTGCTGGCTGTAAGGCAGTGGTTGGAAGCCCTGCTGCTAACTGAGGGAAAGGACTTAATTCATTAGAGTATCTGCATAAAAACAAACAAAACTACTGAAGATGGAAGGTGATAGCAGTGAACTCTGCTCTAAAAGGAGACAGGTAAACCCCTTCTACGTATGTAATGCATTCTTTTGGAATGAGAGGAAGAGCAAGAATATTTTAAGTCATAGGTGATTGATTAGCTGTGTTAATAAGACAAGTCATCTGATGCAACTGTGCGTTTAAGGAAAGCACGAACTGTGGATGGTGTACATTTTATGGCAAATAATTTTTATTCAGCACCTGTGCTTTTGAGATTTTCATTTAAAGGTATTCAGTAGGTATATTCATGTCATGTGGAATACAAAGTATTAGGATACTCAGAGTAATATATACTGGTGAGACTTACCACAGTCCTATGCAGTTGAGAGGGGAAGCAATTTGGAAAGACAGAATACTGAAGTTCCTGCATTTGCAGATTTATAACATGGGTTTCCACTCTAGGCATGCAAGATGGGAATTGTTATTATGCAACTGCAGAGGATCAGCTAGCCACTGTCTTACATAACTTATTACTGAACACGCACAGAGCTATCCTCTGCCATTATGTCAAGCTCTAAAAAGATGAGGAAATAGCAAGGTTAGATATACATGCCAAACTGCCTGTATGTCTTTTGTTCAGGTACACATTGCTGCATTGTCCAATCAGATAATCGGGCATTTCTGAAACATTTCTTGCAGTTCTAAACATACATAAGAACCTTCCAGATTCCTCCCCTCCTAAACACTTAAATATTTTCATTGGTGTGAACCGTAGTTGCTTCATTAATTTAGGCCTCACTGCTATAGAATGTTGAGGCTCCTTCATGCCATTCCTTTGATACAGTGCTAAAAAAATGGCTCAGGTATTTGGAAGTTTTGTTGCCCTGGGGAAATCTTTAGGTAGCATGAAGCTACCATTAGTTTCTCCTGCATTATATCTGGTTGCTGATATTGAATTCCTGTTAAAATTGCTCTTCTAGCAGAGTCAATCTGCTAAGGGATATTTAGGTACAAGATATTCTAACATGCTCTGTGGAGCACTGGCAGTCTGCTAGCTAAAATTAACCATCTTCTACACCTTATAGGATAGCTGAATGCAGGCTGATAATTCCAGAGTTTAACTTATTTAACAAAATAATACAGCATATAACTGAATATTATTCCCAGTTCTACCCAGATATAAATTTTCCTATAAATGCACAGATGATATTACATTATGTATTCAAACCCAGTTAACTGTAAAAGCTGTTTGATGTAAGAATTCGGAAGTTACTAGACCTGCCAGCATGGCTTGAACCAGCAGCGGTAGTGCGAGTGAGAACACCAGCGTTTCCATGGTAATAGCTTGATGCAGATGCTTCAGACACAGTTGGAGGTCTGTGGCTGGGGACAATGAGATTAAGAAAGAAAAGTAACCAAAAATGTTTCCTTCATACACGTTTCAGTTCAAGTTGCCTTAGTATGAGAAGTGCTGTTAAAAGCAGCAGAAAATAGCTGTATATGTAAAACTACATTATATTTCATTTATGTAAGGCCACTCAAGGTTTTGTACACCAGAACTTTTGATGTTTCTGCATTTTAAATCCTTTCCAAATGTCTGATTTCAATTAGTCTGCAACCAAATGAGGCAGCTATATATACACTGGAAAACTGGAAAGTGGGCTTGCAACATGCATTTTCTATAAAATAAATATAGAAACATATTTTGAGGAATAATAAAAGCACTTACACATTTTTTTTAGTTATAGTTAAAATGAAGAGTTATTGTAGAGAGAACACAAGCATATCTTCTTACAGTATAATTTTTAGTCTCTGTTCTTCTGTCATCCAAGCTCCAAAAAAACCCACTGTTCAAATAGGAATATATTTTATATATTCACTTTTTCAGTGAATTTCCTTCACTGTAAAAGACTTAGCAATGTTTAATTCCTTACTAATGTTTTCTGTCATTATATACATATATAAATAAATCTGGAAAATCATGAAATATGCTTTAATTGTTCAGATAACTTCCAGTTTTTCTGTATTGAGTAATTACTATGACTGGCAGTATTTTAAGGGTGCCATTTACCGTGTAATTGTGCATGCATTGATTACTTTTTTCCATATACTTCTGTAATAAAATTGAACAGGTATTCTATATATCCATATATATAATGTTCTCCCTTAAACCATTCACTATATAGGACATGGTTTGCAACTAAATTTCCTTCATCATTTTTTTTTGTAAGGACTGTTTTCTCATAGGATAGCATATCTGCCCAAAGAGTCTCACATGCGACTATTGAAAACTAAGGACTAACTATACTAGCAAGAAAATACAGTGAAGTCAGCGTATTGTTTTCTGTCTCCTTGGATAAATGATTAATTAAAAAAATTGTCATTCAGCTCAATCATCTGCTGAATTTGATGTGCTGTCAAAAGTCCATGCAGCTAAGTAACCTGGTCTGGGATTTTTTCCTCCTTTTTTTTTTAATGTTCAACTTCGTTTGCCTTAAAGGCAGTTTTCAGAAGTGGGTATACCACAGTAGGTGGAACTTTGAAAACTACTCATTGTTATTTCACTGTGACACCAGATCCAGAAAGCTCCATTTTGGTCTCCTAGAGTTTGTTTCTGTAAGCTGGGAAAGTGTAACAAGGTGACTGCTGCTGGGTAACCTACCCAAGTGTTTCCTGGCAGACAGCATGACAGATTTGTTCTGATGTTGTAGGGGATTTTGGTCAGATTTTCCTAATTGTTTCCATAGATCTGTATCTAGGGAAGTAATAATCCCCTAGACAGTAGGGGAGTAATAGTTGCCCTTTTCATATAAATACTCTAATCACTTTCTGGTTAATAGCATTCATTCATAAAAGACTTGCATGCTATGATAGTGTAGACTGATGACTAAATTCCACACATTCCCTCCCATTCTTCAAACCATGCAAACAGAATTTAACTTTTGGAGCTTCTTGGTGAAAAACTATTAGTAAAAGGAGTCCCAAGTATAATAAAATTATTACACAGTTTTATTTTGAAGAACATTTTGCATTTGTTTTAATACAAAATGATGTAGGTCAAGAAATAATTTACAAACCTTTAAGTTCTTATCCTGGCATTTGAAATAAGAATGATTTCAGAGGAAGTCTGTAAGCTATTCATAGGAAACTGTCATTATGTACAAAATGTTTATTGACATGTTTTAAACATCACATTTGTAAAAATGTGAACTGGATTGCTATCTAGCATATGAACTACAGGTAAAACCTGATAAGATAACTTGTTAGAACAAGTCATTGTTATCCAGTGCTAACAAAATAGACAGTAGCTTTCAGTGGTTTTTGATTTTCCTCCAAGGTCGTTTCAGCCTCAAAGACATTTCAGGGTTTTACTGCATTGTGAACAATATCTAAGCCCTCTCTTGATTGCATAAAAATAAATCTTTGAAACAGTACACATAGAACAACAGAAAGGTAGAGGCAATAAAATAGTATACTTCTTATATCAAGGTTTTTGGTTCTGTGAATAATCATTTTATCATATTTCTTTTCTTTCCAAGCAGAGCA